AAATGCTGTAATCCCAAAATGACCCAAATCCTTAAAATCTAAATCTCTAAAGTCTGAAATCCCTAAAGTCTAATTGAATCTACAAACCATAATTACAGATTTAAAATTAGATGTGATCAAGGCTTCTATAAGTGAATTTCTGGATGTCACCAATAAGTTTTTTTTTCCATTCAGCCCAAGTTATTTGTTGGGAAATTGAGATGAGTGGATGGGCCCCATGATATGGCAGCAACAGACACTTCAGTTTAAAAATGTGTTATTTGTCTGCGTCGGCATTCCTTCTAGCCGATGAAATTCCAGGAGCTTTCAATGAATTAAAGCCGCATTTGGGCCACCTGGGGTGGCTCATGCTGGAAATCCCAGCACTTTGAGAGGCTGAGGTGGGAGGGTGGCTTGAGGCCAGGAGTTCAAGACCAGCCTGGGCAACATAGTGAGACCTCGTTTCTACAAAAAATTTAAAAATTAGCTGGGTGTGGTCGTGGGTACCTGTCGTCCTAGTTAGTCAGGAGGGTGAGGCAGGAGCATCCCTTGAGCCCTGGACTTTGGGGTTACAGTGAGCTACGATGGGGCCACTTCACCCCTAGCCTGGGCGACAGAGTGAAACCGCGTCTCTTACAGGAAAAGCTGCATTTTCCTGAAGAAACCAGCAAAACTCACTGACCGGTTGGAAAATTATGTGCATGGTAGGGTAAGAAGCAGGATAAGGAGACACTCGTGCAATGTGTTGCTGTTCAGTCACCAGTATTGTCTCTGCCAAATTCGTGGTCTGAATACGTGTGCGTGCAGAATGGATTTCCGTGTACTCAGATAACACGGGAGCCCGGCACAGAAGATGGGAAATTTAACAGGGAACACTCACGTTGGCGTATATCGAATCAAAGAAGGATTTCAAAAAGAGCAGTGCCAGGTGGAAAATGAACGTGAACGTATTTTCTGGGGAGATCCATGCCCTAAAAGGGAAAAAAACAGCTGCACACCTCGGACACCGCACAGGGGTATATCTCACAGGAGAGAGAGAGACACAGAGAAAAGCTAGAGGGGGCACACAAAACACAAAAAGCCTCGAGACAAAACACACACCCCCCGAGAGCCCCCAACCCCCCCGCCTCCGCCGGAAAACCAACCGCAAGGGGCCCTTAAAACAAAAAAAAAAAATTAAAAACGGCCACAACCCGAAGCAGAAGGTCCCCCGCCAAAAAAGAACTTTCCCAACCCGGGTAACACACAGCTGAGTGCAGAGGAGTGGAATTAGGCAGGAGTCCACGCTAAACTAGAATTACCCGAAGTGGGAGGGTTTTTATGGTAAACCAACGGAAAAGACGGAGGGAAGCAGCGAAGGGCGCCATGTACCAGGGCAGCTGTGTGCACGCCTGCTGCAGAAAGGGTTCATTCTTGGCAGTACTCTCCAGGGCAGGGAGGGGCCGGTAAGCTTTGTGAGCGCCGGGCTCATCTGTCGGGTCCGGCTGCCTCCTGTTCGAGTCCACCTGCAGGCTCAGGTGTGCTCACAGCACCAGCCGCTACCAGCCAGGGTCAGGATGGGGCTCTAGCTTTCCATCTCGTGCAGTCTTAAATTCTCCCTGCCCTGGGCCTGGGAGACTTGCAAATACGAAGAGTGGGAGGTTGCCAAGGTTCAGCCAGAAGATGGACAGTGAAATGAGCGTTGGCAATGTGCCCAGAGGGTTGATGTTAAAAGAAAGAAGGAAAGAAAAAAAAAAAGCCAGGTTATTCGATTACTGCTTTTTAACAGTGATGTTTCTTCTCTTACTACCCTGGCTTGGAGCAGAGTCTTGGAAGAATCTCCCAGTGAGTGAGCTCAAAGGTTACTAAATAGTAGTCATTTCCTGGGTTTCACCATTTGAATCCAATTTGGCCCAGGCTGAACGCAGAAAAATATGAGAAAGGGAATTCCCTTACTTCATGCATGATGAAAATGATTTTTCTGCCAATTTGGGAAGGGGTGGAGGGTTGGAAGCCGCCCACAACCGTAACCATTTAATATCCGTAGTTCTAGGAAGCGTTTCAGCTGCAGTGCGTGGGTGTTACACACGGGATGATTCACGTGGCAAAGAATGGGTAGAGCTGAGGACAGTTTCGAAGCCACATGGGACTGGGTGAGGACATGTGTAGTATCTGCCTCTGAGGCCCCGTCTCGCCCTCCTCTCGCCGGCCGTTCTGATGGGCAGGAGGAAGGTGAGTCTGGAAACAGAACTGGCCTTAGACCCAAGCAGTACGAATTCAGCCCTACTGTGTGTCCTTGCTCTTGATTGACACTTTGAGTGGAATTGTCCCAGTTCATATCTACTGTCCGGCATAATTATTTAATAGAACACAGATGTCCCCTGTCTGCACATGCAAAGTGAACAGACAGGCCGTAGGAGTCGGCTGGGGGAGCTCTGAGCTCTGGTCAGTGGACAAAAAACCTCCTAGCATGAGGCAAAGGAGAGGAAGAGATGAAAACTTTGGTCTTATTTAGATATTACTTTAAAGTTTAATAATAAGAATTACTGTCTCAAAAATATCTTTCAAAACCAATTTTTTTTCATCCCCTTTTTCCCCAGCGAGGAGGCAGTCACTCAGGCAGTAAACAAACTTCAGCAAGACAGCGTGTAGAGTGCATTAAATAAATATAAATTTTATTAAAAACACTCACATAGCGTTATCAGGAATGATATAATAATAAACAGCTTTCAAATAACCTGCATTCATAACATTACAATACTTACAGTATTTATAACCCTCCTCAGATTTTTATAAACAAACCAAACATCTCATGAAAATGAAATGAAACTAAGTTAAAAAAATAAAGCGTAGAAAAATGCACACAGAAATTCATTATCTTAGTGTCAAACTGCAAAAGTCTCCTACACAACCACTAGCTTTAGAAGTGAGCTGTACATCACTGTGCGTCAATCAAGATGAAAAATTCATTCAAGTAAAGTTGACACCACTCAGAAGCGTTTTCAAGTATGGCTATAGAGTCAACCTGATATTCCTATACAAGCAAACTGTGGATCCGCTTCCCAATTCATTCTCGCTGAGGCAGGTTTGATATGTACAAGTATAGATCTGATATTTACACTACGCCACTCAATTTCCTCTCCTCCTCCCGACCTACTCTCCCCAACCCCCCAAACCATACTTCCTGCTCTTCTTGGCCAGCAGTTTGACAAATGACAGTGGACGGTATAGAAACCAAATATTCATTAAGGGTGGCTGACTCAAATCACCAAATGCACATGTGGTCGCCAAATACTTGAGGTTAGATATCATGGTATATGTAAAACATTACAATCCTGTGGTTTCTATGCAAGCAAACATTTTGTGAAATGTTTGTAAATCGGACACAGCCAAAAGCTCATTTTTTTTTTTAAAGCACAAAATCCATCTTATAAAGATTTGACCAATTAAACCCAAAGGCTGCCTTTGATGAAGAGTTTATTTGAAATGTTAGGCCAAAGGTAATGGTACAGTCTGTTACACACCGTACCTGTAGGTGTTTTGCTTGTTTGGGGAGGTCCTCATGGAGTATGTACCTGTATTAAGTACAGGATCAAAAAAGCTTTATTTAGAGAGTTAAGACTCTAGCCAACAGCCACTTGCCAAACTCCTGCCTTCCAATTTTCCCTTTATCAACTCAGTGCATTCTATGTTCATGTAAATTTTTTTTCCTGCTTTAAAACAGTCAAAAGATTCCTCAAACTTCTAAGATGCTTTTTCTTTACAATAAAAAGAGCCAACAGATTTACAAAATTAGTTTGTTACATCAGTACATATACAAGTAGAATAGGAGGGATTCAAAATAAAAGGGTTAAATCCCTGACAAAGAATATATTTATTAACCTACAAAAATCTTACATAAACACAGGTGACATCGTTGGCATAAGGAGAACATGAGCTGAAATATCCCTGAATTTTTAGAACAAAAAGGTTGAAGTTCAAGTTATACTTGCTAAGAAATCAAGTATTGAAAAAAAGGTATGTTTTTAATAATAATAATAAAAAAAAGACTTGGAAAAAAATGATGGTACACAATGCTATAAGCTTTCACTCTCAGTTCCATATCCTATTGCCAAGCTAGTGTTGAGGTATATGACAAGTAGGAACATCACCCAGACCTTTAATGGATTCTTAGCTCACATTATGGTACATCTGTAGCGGGCTGAGTAGCACCATCGTGACGTGAATTCTGCTTTAAATCCATATATATATATCTATATATATGTATGTATATATTTAATTTTTTTTTTACAGTACTAAAATACTAAAGCATTGTGTTAAAAAAGTTTTGTTTACAATTTAATTTACTATACAATTCTTTCACGTCTTTATACAAATTAATGATTTAAAACCACCACAGCAAACCAGCTGCCTGTTTTCTTTTTTGTTTCTTTCTTTTTAACCAACAGATTCACATGGAACTAACCCTGTTTGTTTATCTCGTGTAGGCATCAGTCTGCTCGACCTTGCAGGTAAAGAGGACACACAAGCTAAGAAATGACAACATCACAAGGTACGTAATCATCCACACGAAGGCAGGGTCTGCCGGTGAGCTCTCTGCAGAGCAGACAGATCCACAAAACAGCATAGGCTTACGTGAACTAGCTTTGCTGAGTCTCTAGCATGCGGCTAATTATCACCTGCAGTTAATAGAAAAACCCTTGAAACTGTACATATATGTGAGCAATGAACTTGTCATACAATTTTGTATAAAACTGTCTTACAGTATAACATGTGAGATGAGCACCAGAAAACGTGTGTGTCGTAGACTAACGTATTCCCTTGAATCCAGCAAGCCCCGTCTTGGATTTAACTGGCTGCGTTAAAAATGGACACATCGCTCATCAGCAGATACATGGCTAAAAGCAAAAAATATTTTAAAAGCTTTCCTTGTTTCATTTAAAAAAAAAAAAATCAACTTTGCATTCTAAAATGAAAGTAAACTTGTTTTTTTAAACGTCTCAGTACCTTAGCATTGTTCAAGTTGTCAAAGCTTAGGTAGACAAAGTGCTTCTAAAACACCATTTAAAATATTTATACATATACGTGTGTGCACATATACATGTTTGTGTATATATGTACAGATATATGTTTATTGTCCTACAAGGACTTCACTGCATGACCAAAATCCAGAGGCCTTTTAAAATGTCCACATCTTAAAAACTAAGCTTGTGTAAGAATAGGTAATTACGATAAAAACTCGAATGAAAAGGTACCCCTGCTACCAAGGGCACTGGAGTACACTGACAGCATCTTGATGATATAAAAGGCATTGAATGTTCAACTGTTAAAGACACCATTTTCTTAGCACCATTTCTTAGCACGTCCAAACAATTCAGTGTTTTGCTGCTATTCATTTGTTTCCTGTAGCTATTTCGATAAATTAAAGTTAAGATTACAGTAAGAACTGCCATGTTAAAAAAGCCATAATTCCAGTATTTCAGTACATTGTCTATTCAGCACCAGATGGTATGTTAAGATTCCTGTCACTGTAACACTACAGTACTTTTTGACTTGTGTTCCATGACTATGCAAACTTGGTATTATTAAAAGCGGTCACAGATGTGTAGAGTTGTAAGGGGGGGAAAAAAGAAAATCACATTTACATAGCTTCTCGCCCAACAATAGAACCAGTGTTTAAAAATGTAAATCGCAAGACCCTTTTTTCCCCACCTTCTTTTTGCATAGAATGCTTTGGTCTTTCTCCCAGTGCCATCTGTGACCACTCGGGGTCGGTGGAAGTTAAGTGCTAGGGTAAGATCACCTCTTGTTTTTTTTTTTTGCTGGTGAGCTGAGGTTTCTCCCACCACCTTCGCCACGGACACCGCCTCCCCCACCGCCCGCATCGCGAGAACCGCTCTGCCGACAGGTCGGTCGTGGGCTTTTCCGACGAGGTGTCCAGCGCAGGGGCGGCGTCAGATGTATCTGTTGTAAGGCCCTGTGACCCTCGTGAAGGCATAGGGGGAGGTGGTCACCGTGGAGTCGGTGGTCACCGACAGGGTCCTCTCGGCCAGGGACCTGATGAAGCGCAGGTAGGTGGGCTCCGGGGGTTCGTGTGGCTCGGTGGGCTCCCGTCTCAGCTTTTTGCCGTGGGTTTTCTGAGGCACGTAGTCCGGGCCGTACTTCTCACACTCTTCCTCTTTCTCGCGGGCCTTTTCAGCCATTTTCGCTTCCCAGAGAGCCAGGCCGTGTTTGGGCTCGTTCATGCTCTTGTGCTGGTAGAAGACGAGGGAGATCCTGGTGGGGTGATTCCTGTTGGGATTCTTCAGGGGCGTCGTGGCGTGAAGCTCGCGCTTCGCACACTCGATGAGGATGGACCCGTGCGTGGGAGCCACCGCCACGCCGCCGATGTCGGGGTCCAGAAAGCTCTGCTCGCTGTCCGACCAGACCTCCTCGTCCTCCGCAGCCGCGGCCAGGCCCTGGGCCGGCGCCGACGGCGGCTTTTCCTGGCCCTGAGCCTCCTGCGGTGTCTGCGAGCCGCCCTGGACACAGGCAGTCCCGTCGTGGGTGAGGCCCGGCAGCGTCGTGGACAGCCCGTTCGCCGCGTGGGGGAGCAGGTCGTTGTCCTTGTCCTGCAGCGGCACGGCGTGGAGCGAGCTGCTGAGCGCGCCCGGGGCTGCGCCGCAGTTAGGAAGCGTGTGAGAAGGTGGATGATGTTCACCGTTTTTATAGTCTGTGTCTGCGCTGCTCACATTGGGTGGGAACCTGGAGGCCGCTCCCAAGAAGTGGCCGTCCATCTCGAGGGTGGGATAAGGCGGCAGCGTCCCCAGGTGGTGCACGTTCGGTGCGAGGGCACAGCTGCCGAAGGCGTCTCGCTGCACGGCCTGGTTCCCGTAAGCCAAGTACTTAGAGGCGAAACTCGGGCTGTTTCCAAAGCGCGGCTGGTAGAGCGTGTGGATGGGCGGCAGGCTGAGCTTGGAGAGGGGGTCCTGGCGTGGATACCTGTACAGGTCCACGGGCCGAGACTGGGGGGAGTAGGAGCCCAGGTACGGGGAGCAGCTGTCCACCGACACGTTCCCATTGCACTGATATGGCGGGTACTGGTGACTCTGGTTCAGAAGCCCAGGGTAGGGGTTCACGGGGTTAGAAGAACTCGGATACGAACCTGCGGCGTGGGATGAGGAGGAGTAGAGGCTCACAGAGCCGGCGCCTCCGTAAACGTCTGCGGCGTGTGAAGAGCTCGGATGAGGACTCGCCGCATCGGGCCGTCTCGCGTAGGGGCCGTACGAGTCGACGGCCTCTGGCTGAGGCTGAGAAGCCACAGGGCGCGGGGCCGGCTGCTGCATGACTGGCCCCGAAGGTCGCAGCAGCTCTGTGGACAGCAAGAGCGGGAACAGATACGCTTGGTAATTGTTCCGCGAAGGCTAGTGAGGACGCTTAAACGTACGCGAGAACCACCACCGGGGCCATGCCACACCCACTGTGCAAGGACAAGAGCAAAGTCAGGTCCAGCACGACCGTCTGTGTCTGCAGCATCAGAGATAAAATGCAGAACTTAGTCAAGAAAAACATAACAAAGCTCCACAGCCCTTCCACTGAGAGCAGCGTCCGAGCACGCCTCTTCCTGAAGCACCTCCTCCCTCTGCCTCCCTCGGCTTGGCCACCCCTTCCTCGAGGAAGATTTCTGCCACCTCAGCTTCCAGAGCTTTTGCAGCGCCCGCTGCAAACCCAGCTGTGATAAAGAGCAACAGTCATGACGTAGCGCGATTGTCTGGTCTTAGCCCCATTGCCACCCCACTGCTAAGCTCCTAGAAGGGAGGGACCACGTCTTACTGTGCTTCATTTCTCTAGTGCCTGGCACGCGACAGAGTGAGGCACATAATTAAAACACAGTAACGTAAGATCTGTTATGGAAGATCCAGGAATGTTATAAGAAAAAGAATGATACTCGCTTCTACAGAAAAAGCATCGTATATGTTTCCTTTCCAGAAAGGAAATTTGCATCATTGTAGATAACACTTTAAAGAAAGTTTCAGCTTTGCAAGTGAAACTGTTAAAAGTTCATACTTCTGTTTCATGCCCTCGCTTAAAAAAAAAAAAAAGTCCCCTTAGTTAAGAACAACTAGAGGGAACCGCAGTGGCAGTTCTGAGAACCGACGTGATTATCATCTGCAGAAACCGGTTAGGAGGGAAGAAAGACAAAGTTCTATCTGATTATGCTTCAGGCCCGACCTAAAGGAGCTATCAGGGTGAGCAGGATTCACTTCTCTTAGTGGAACTCAACCGGTCAACAAATACGTATTAAGCATCTTTAGCACATTCTAAATTACTTAACTTAGTTACTCTGCGCTTAGAAATGAGTCAGTAGGGAAATTTGACTTTGTGGCCCAAAGATGATTGGTTCTAAGCAAACTGGGGCACTAAACTTAAAAGATACGCCTTTTTCTTGTGTTAATAGGCCCATACCACCTCCAAAATTTGGATTTTTTATAACATGAACTGCAGACATAAAGCAAGGTGCTATGGAAAGAAAATATCCACTTAGTAGAGGCTGAAAACTTTGGAGTCATCCTTAAATTTTTCTTCTTCATTCCAATGTTCTGTCACTAATGTATAGATTTTTTTCATTTTGGAAGAACTCAACTTGCATCATTTTTTTTTTTTTTTTTTTTTGAGACAGAGTCTCACTCTGTTGCCCTAGAGTGAGTGCCGTGGCGTCGTCTTAGCTCACAGCAACCTCACACTCCTGGGCTCAAGCGATCCTCCTGCCTCAGCCTCCCGAGTAGCTGGGACTACAGGCATGCGCCACCATGCCCGGCTAATTTTTTCTATATATTTTTAGGTGTCCAATTAATTTCTTTCTAATTTTAGTAGAGACGGGGCCTCACTCTTGCTCAGGCTGGTCTCGAACTCCTGAGCTCAAACAACCCGCCCGCCTGGGCCTCCCAGAGTGCTAGGATTACAGGTGTGAGCCACCGCGCGATTTTTGCATGGCTTGACTGCTAATACTGAAATTTGAGATCTCGCTACCTCATTCTTGGTTTATTACGTCTGTCTCCAAACTGTTAACTCCTCTACTTCGGTCTACCCGCCGTTCCCAGATTAACACTAATTTCCCCATGTCATTTATCTGTTAAAAACCTTGCTGTTTATTACAGAATGAAAATCCGAACTTCTCCATCCAGCTGAATTCATGGTGCAGTATCTCATTACCATCTCTGAGAGCAAAACCTGGCCCTTGCTACTTTACAGAAGATTCCGGTACAAAACTAAGACCGTGATTGATGTAACCTTCCAAAATTAGCAATGTTCACTATTAACACAAGTATCGTCTAACACGTATCTGCAACGCTTTACATTACGTTTACCTGCCAGCTGTTTCGCCTGGCTTACGTTTTCGGCCTGTTTTGTGCGTGACGAGGCTGGCTTTTCCTTTTCATTCTTACTCGAGCCGTTCTCCAGCGAGGAGAGCTTCTCGGCAGCCGCTTTCCTGGCTTCCAGCTTCCTCTGTCGGCAGGTCTTGACCGGCTCCGCTAGCATCCTGACTCTCCGTCGGAAGGAACTCAGGACCTGAATGGCCCCGGTGCGTTTTTTCTCCTCCTGAGCCTCCAGGCTCCCGAACTCGTCCACGTCAGAGACTTTGTATAAAGGCAGAACGTGGAGCTGCTCGTCCTCGGGTTTCCCTCCAACCTCTCGATTGTCTTCTCTGGTGAGAGTGCACACCTGGCGCGGAGGGAAGCGAGACATTACCGCCCGGGCCAGGCCCAGAGGAAGGAGGGAGCCTCTTCCTCCCTCTCCGTAGCTAGGCTTGTGCTGGTGGCCCAGCTGGGCCAGGCCGGTGGCGTGCACGGCCCCACAGACCCGTCCCTGTCTGTCGTTAATGAAGATGGCACCCAGAGGGTACAGGGAGAGAGGGAGACGTTCACGTGACTCCCCTCCCCTTTGTGAGTTTGCGGGGGGCCGTCACCCAGAGCGACTCGCATTTCTAACGCTAAGGGAAGCAGCGGCACTCACACCAACAGGAAGCAGCCTCCTGCTTTCCATGTCGCAGAAACAGACGTGAAGCCTCTTCCCAGACAGGCTGAACGTCCCCTCTGCCCATGACCGCCTGTGTTTCAGAAGCAGCACAGCGGCTCCGTCCCATACTTTTGTACACACAGAAATTTCACCTCTTTCCTCACTCCTGACACCTAACTCTGTATAAGAAATTCACTGTTTAAGAAATTTCCACAAGATACCAAAGTAAAAATCTAAAAAAACGAAAAGCAGAGGATTCCATCACGATGGGGAATATGCAACTTAACACCGTTTTTCTCTCTTTTCTCTCCTCCTCTGTATTCTGTCAAACCCAACTCCTTGTTCTCTTCTCTCGTTTCTTTTGTGAAATATCACCATGCTCAAGTGGGTACCCCGAAAAGGGGGGAAAAGCCTCTCCTGTTGTTTTGATAATTTAACAGTAATTTTTTCTTTTGTTCACCACAATTATATTGGTTTTGATGAAAGATCTTTTGTTTTTTAAATATGAATAGATGGGGTCTCACCGTGATGTCCAGGCTTGGAGTGCAGTGGCATGATCACAGCTCACCGCAGCCTCCAGTTCCTGGGCTCAAGTGATCCTCCTGGCTCAGTCTCCTGAGTAGCTAGAACTACAGGCATACACCACTGCAGCCAGCTAATTAAAAAAAATTTTTTTTATAGAGATGGAGTCTTGCTGTGTTGCCCAGGCTTGTCTCAAACTCCTAGCCTCAAGTGATCCTCCCGCCTTGGCCTCCCAGAATGCTGGGATTACAGGTATGAGCCACCATGCCCCACCTACTTGTATTTTTGATCAATGGAGAAAATGTAACCTAAAGCATAAGGTAGGTGATATCAAATCATTAGAAGATATCATTGAAAGGAATGTGATTATAACAGACCAACCTTTATAAATAATTTTAACATGAAATGGTATTATAATGAGTTTGTCACTTCTTACACAAAATTCATGTCTCTGAGCACCTTGTTACCTCTTCCCACACACATTCACCTCCGTTCAGTTCTTACCTAGACCTTCTTTCCATTTTACTTCCTTCCCCTTAATTCTAACCTTCCTCCCGCCTCCACCACCTTGCTGGAATGCAACACAGCTGTCCTTAGGACCCACTAGAGCTCCAGCTATCACTTCTTCCTTGCACCTTCCAGAATCTAGCACAGCCTGCTAATAATGCGCAGGGGCTCCATGCGCCATCAGTGATGATTTAGATGTCAGGGTGGTTGGCAGGCCCCGGGTCTGTTCTCTCGGACCAGGAGTCAGCAAACCAGGGCCAATCTGCCTCGCAGCTTGTTTGCAGGGCTAGCAACCAAGAATGGTTTTTATGTTTTCAAAGGGTTTTTTTTTTTTTAAAAAACCTCACAAAACAAAGAATGTGACGGAGACCCCCATGTGGCCTACAAAAGCCTAAAATATAATACTATCTTGTCCTTTATAGAAGATTTTTCCAGTCTCTGATCCAGACCATTAAACCAACACCTTTTCTGCTCCCCACCAAAAACTCCGCTCCAGCTTGTTCAGATTCCTTCAGCCACCATCTACCGCCTGCCTGAGTTTGTTCCCCTCCTAGAGCATGACTTTGATGCCTGGCGTCGATTTTTCATCTTAGGTCTCGTTGGTCCTCTTCACCTGCACCTAATCCATATTGATAACCCATGAGGTTGATTATGGTTTCTCCACCTGAACTTCCTCATTCTTCATCTCTACTCTGGGTCACCCCTTTCCATGCCAGGCAACACCCCAGACTGGGTCAGTGCAGAGCACGGCTCCACCCGAGACCTTACGTATTCCCTCCCCCGACCACAGCCTCCAATTACAGGAGCCATCCGGGTCACTCGGGGTGAGATGCAGTCGGGCCACTTTGCACTCTGAACCTTCCACGGCAGGTTTCCATAGCTGCCGTGACAGCAATGTATTTTTCATTTGCACTTCTCTCTGCAAGGTGAGTCGGTGCCTTGGCTTGTATGTGGTTTTTTAGTTGCTTGTTTTTGTTTCGTGCTTAACTGATTCTAACCTACCAGGCAACTGACACTGCATTTTGAGACTTTCTTGGAAGCTAACTGTAACTAGCACTAATCACTGGCACTGAAAATGCCCATGATTCTCCCGTCAGAACGGTCACTCATGTGTCGACCTACTGTGAGAGTGCTCGTTAGGCTCAAGGTCACCTTGCAGCGGCAGCTCATCCGCGGAAACGCTGCTGTCCGGTGACGGCTACAGAGAACACAGGCTCTGACCGACCGCCGAGCCTCCCGGCCCCACTCACCAGCGTGCTTCCGTTCTGCATGTTGTGCAGGTCCCTGTGCGCGTGAGCACAGAAGTCCAGGCACGCGGTGACCCCCGAGAACGGGCGGCCCTCCTTCAGCCCCAGGCGGCACTCGGGCGCTCTGTGCTCGTACTCGATCTGAGAGAGAGAAGTGTGCGGGAAAGCAGTCAGTTCCACACTCAGACAAACAGGCTCGTTCGCGTTTAGACCTTTTAGACCTCTAAGAAATGTTTTGTGCTTTACATCTAGAAACAAAATGGAACGACACAAAATGCAGAAACACTTTGACATGGTGAAGTCTTTATTTTACGGTGTTATCAAGGCATAACTGACACACGTTAAACAGGATATATTTAAAGTGTGCTGCGTGATGAGTTTTGATATATGGTCACTTCTGTGAAACCACTGCCCCAGACAAAATCTGATTTGTTGAACTAATTGGCATAAAGTCGCTAATAATATGCCTTTATTATCTTCTAATCCCTGCAGGATCTTTAGTGATATCTCCTCTGCAATTCCTGATATTGGTGATTTGTTCTTGCTCTTTTTTGTGCTGATAAAACTGTCGCAAAGTACCAGCTTTTTGGTTTCACCGATTCACTGTCTTGTTTTCTCTATTGTAGTTCACTGATTTCTGTTCTTGCCATTTTATTTTTTTTTTTCCTTTCTTCTGCCTTTTAGGGCTAAAATTGCTCTTCTTTTTCAAGTTTCTTGGGTTAGAAGCCCAGATGAATGGCTTGAAACTTTACATTTTTCTAATGCTATCACTATCTTTTTAAGTAAGGCTTTAAAGCTCCATCCTGCAAATTTCAACGCCATTTCTTGTTTCCATAAAGTTCGAACTACTTCACGGTTTCCTGTGTGATTTCTTTGGCCCGTGTGTTATTCAGAAGCATGTTGCTCAGTTTCCAGGTATTTGGGGATTTCGTAGATATCCTGGTACAGATTTTTAATATCATTTCATTGTGGTTAGAGAACATTATTTGAGGCTTTTTAAATTTATTGATACTTGTTTTATGAAACAGAATATAATCTATCCTGGTCAATCATCCCTGTGTGCTTGAACATAATGCTAATTCTGTTGGGTGCGAGTTCTGTGTCAATTAGGCCAAATTGGTTAAAAGTGCTGTTTGAGTCTTCTATTTCCTGTCTACTTGTTCTTTCAATTATTGAGAGATGTATTAAAATGTGACTGTAATTGTGGATTTTTCTATTTTTTTAGTCCTATCAGTTTTTGTTTTATACTTGCTGAAGTTCTGTTATTAGGTACATAAATATTTACCATTATCATGTTCTTTTGATGAACTGACCCTTCTATCATTATTAAATGACCTTCTTTAATCCTGTAACATTCTTTGCTATAAATCTACATTGTCCACTATTGTCTCTCCAGCTTGCTTTTGACTGATGTTAACATAATGTATTTTTTTTTCTATTCTTTTACTTTTTTTTTTTGAGACAGAGTCTCACTCTGTCGCCCAGGCTAGAGTGCTGTGGCGTCAGCCTAGCTCACAGCAACCTCACACTCCTGGGCTCAAGCGATCCTCCTGCCTCAGCCTCCCGAGTAGCTGGGACTACAGGCATGTGCCACCATGCCTGGCTAATTTTTTCTATATATTTTTAGTTGTCCAGCTAATTTCTTTCTAATTTTAGTAGAGACGGGGTCTCACTCTTGCTCAGGCTGGTTTCGAACTCCTGAGCTCAAACAATCCTCCCGCCTCGGCCTCCCAGAGAGCTAGGATTACAGGCGTGAGCCACCGCGCCCGGCCTATATCACTCATTTTTGTATGTTGTATTAAATGTCTAGCTATTTGGAATTTTTTTGGTAAGATTAATTGATTTTCTACTTTGCATGCAGATATTTGGCATTCTATAAATAAAAGCTTATACTTGTGGCAGGGTCAGGAGAATGAAGTCAGAGGGTCTTCCAGAGATCACATTTTCCACTCACTGATTAGCAGCTGAGGAAGATGAACTATTGGAAGAATTTATTTAGCTTACTCTATTTCCAATCTTTATATTTTACATTTCAAAAGTTGATGTCTCCCTAGAACCAAAAATGACTGGACACTTCAAAGATGGATAAAATTCTCAGAACTAGAATGTGGTATATATGAAAAACTTTGAAAGGGGAATTGCTCAGTTTTACTCCCAGCCACCCTGGTCATGAAGAATAGATTTTACAATATTCTTTTAAAAACAATAGGCAGTGATACTCAGTCGTTCCATCCGTACTCATACCTGACAGAGATGTAAATTTTAGAAGGTGAGGTCTCTGAGCAGAGCGCTCCTACCTAACAGAGGGAAGACTTTACTAGCTACTCTCCAGGTGTGGTTTACAAGAAACCTAGTTAAAAACTGACAACATGCAAAATTGCTACTCTTCATTAAGGGTATTAAATATTCACATTCTTATGAAAAGAAGATGTCTACCACGTTTAAGTAATATGGTTATTATTGAAAACATCCTTTGAAAAAAGTCTATATCATGATTTCAGCAGTTTTTGCACTTACTTTATTATACTTTCATTTACCATTATAGCCACAATTTTTTGTTTAGAAGGACACATCAATACTAACCATAGTATAAGTATACAATTTAGTTGTATTTAAACTTCAAAAGATAATTATAAGAGGTATAGAGTAACTGAAAATCTGGTCATTTCTAACTGCTAAATATACTGAGATTTTCTAACATTTGGTTAGCAGATAGTCCTATGATAGTTTGAAGATTTTTTTGACTTTATGGTGGATTTATTAGAGTATTAAATGGACTTTTGACTTATAACAGTTTCAACTTACGATGGGACCACTGTAAGTCAAGGAGCATCTGTATTCTAGACTGCATGCTGCCCAAAAGTTAAATTTGATACCAGTTTGCAAATTATATTTTAAGAAATATATATTCTAGGCCGGGCGCGGTGGCTCACGCCTGTAATCCTAGCTCTCTGGGAGGCCGAGGTGGGAGGATTGTTTGAGCTCAGGAGTTCGAGACCAGCC